CAGGTGCATGCATACACACAAGCACAGCACAGCACACACACACACACACACACACACAGGGTTACAGGTGCATGCATACACACAAGCACAGCACAAACACACACAGGGTTACAGGTGCATGCATACACACAAGCACAGCACACACACACACTACACACACACACAGATAGAAAAAAAAGAGTTTTGCCAGATTATGATAGCATTCAACAGCCTCAGCCTTCCTATGAGTGGGGCCATCTATGACCACACAAGTGGAACTCTTGACACTGGATGCTGCAGCTGTGTTCTTAGTCCTTGTTTCTGAACAAATCAATTTGAGTTATATTAGAATTGTAATTTTTTGTAGAATTGATGGAGATGGCTTATATTTCTGCTGTCTGATACACAGTATTCAACATGTAGCCAGTGTAATTGCAGTTTGGCCAGCGCTAAGAGCCACATTCTTTCTTCAATTCAATGGCTATAAATTTAAATAGCTTCATGGGAGGCGATGTAGTCAGTGGCTGCCATATTGGACAGAGCTACCGACTGAATCAGCCAAGCTAAAAGCAAGAGAAAACAGTTCTATCTAGAAAGGACTTGGGAAAGCAAACAAGGTCTTTCCCCTTAACTGGATCAGTGGGAGCAGCTAGGCGTGTCAGTTAGCCGGATTCTAAGTACAGTGCCGCTTCTAAACTCACACGTGGAACAAGAAGTTTCTTTAAGCTACAAAACTGTGAAACTTGGAGGAGATCCCTGTCTTTAGTATCTCCCAAGACAGAGTTCCCAAGGCTACAGAGAAGTCATCAAAGTCACCCAATCATCTTTAGAAGAGGGTGACTAGGTATCTACATTGTTTGGTTCTATACATTTTACCTTTGCTGATACTTTTTTCATAGGCCAAGGACATGTTAAAATGTCAAGACAGTATTGTTCAGGAGGGAGGCCTGCAAGGCACTGTTAGTCACTATTGTTTGAAGGGACATTAGAAACTGCACATCTAAAATAAGATGTATTCTTGGCTACTATCCGAAATTCCTTTGAGAAGATGAACTATTACTTTAGATTCCCTGTAGGATCACATTTCCTCAATGAAGATTACTGCCAGCCTGACTTAAAGATGTCTGCCTCAGCCTTTCCCAAGAGACCTGTGTCCTGTCTCCCCAGCTTGGTTTTAGCAGCTGAGAGGCTGACGCTAACATTAACCACCTCACTGTCCTGATTTAAGGTTTGAGCTGAGACGATGTTTCGTTGCCTATACTTATGAAAAAACAAAACAGTCATCTAAAAATATTATACAATGAATACTGCTGTATGGGTGAACAAGTTTTGTTTTATATTTTTATTTCATTTTATTTTGGTTATGAGTCACAACCTGAGGTCCTGGCATGCAAGTGCAGGGAAGGCACACACTATTTCTTCCCAGTAGGTTAATTGGTATCTGCCTTTTAAAACACAGGCAGGCAGAGGAGACTCGGACATTTTCAGTATTTGAGATGACCGAATGTGCCTCTGTTCCTATGGCCTGCACGGGGCCAAACTACAGAGTAACTCTTGAGATGCAAGGGCTGGATGAGGCAGATTCAACGTGAGCATAAGAAGTAGTGAGGAAAAGGTGATTTTTTAAAAAATAATTTATTTTTAATTTATGTGCATTGGCCTGCAGGTACGTCTATGTGAGGGTGTCAGATATTGGAGTTATAGACAGTTGTGAGCTGCCATGTGGGTGCTGGGAATTGAACCCCGAGTCCTCTGGAAGAGCAGTCGGTGCTCTTGACCACTGAGCCACCTCTCCAGCCCACTGATTAGTCAAAGGTGACGGCTCTTGCCTTACAACCCTGGCATGCAGAAAGCTGAGGTGCAGGACAGGAGCAAGTCTGAGGCCAACCAGGGCTACAGTGTGAGAGAGACCTGAGAAACGGAGCTCCGCCGCTGGCAGCCATGTGACCTTCAGTGTGAACAGACTTGTCTCCTCAGGAGCATCAGGCTGTGCATCCTGTGTCCGTGGTGCATCCACCTCTGTGCAGACAGTAAAGACGAGGCTGTTTCTAGAATGGGGAGTCGGGCCAACTTCCCCTTTCTGGTTTCGCTAGTACCTGATTTCCTTCAAGTCAGGCACAAAACACAGTCACTGTACAACTGTAAATATGAAGCACAAGGAAATCTTGGGCAGCTGCACCTTTGAAATAGGAAGATTTTATACTAAACATAAAATCAAGCAAGCCAAGTGTGACCTGAAGTTTCCAGAAAAAAGCCTCATCACCGTAAAGGATTCTATAATATGGCTGATGGTCAGAACTTCTGAGTGTGGAGGCTTGGAGTGTTGCAGATACAAAACCAAAATGTTGGGTTATCTTTAGCCCCTTGACAGTTGGTCACTGCCCATCTCTGTTTGAGTCAACATCTATCCCTGTGACTAGTAGGTAACCATCATGTCCTAATAGACAACTAGCTTCCACTAACCCAAGGGCTAGGAATGTCATCAGTCTCGGAGGCCTACTGTGGTGGTATTGTGTTCCCCAAAATATTGTGCACCCTAATAAATTTATCTGGGGGCAGAGAACAGACAGCCACTAGATACAGAGGCTAGAAAATGGTGGCACTCATGCCTTTAATCCTAGCATTCCAGAGGCAGAAATCCATCTGTTCAAGGATACAGCCAAGCATGGTGACTCACACCTTTAATTCCAGAAAGTGAGCCTTCAATCCCAGGGAGTGGTGGTAGAAAGCAGAAAGGTATATAAGGTGTGAAGACCAGAAACTAGAAGCTTTTAGCTGGTTAAACTTCAGGCTTTCAAGCAGCAGTTCAGCTGAGAGCCATTGGGATGAGGACACAGAAGCTTCCAGTCTGAGGAAACAAGACCAGCTGAAAAGTTGGCCAGGTGAGGTTAGCTGTGGCTTGTTCTGTCTCTCTGATCTTCCAGTGTTCACCCCAATAACTGGCTCAGGTTTGATTTTATTAATAAGAACGTTTAAGATTCCTGCAACAGCCTACTGCAGGCAGACAGTTCCCAACTGCTGTAAGCTGCCAAGCTGATGCTCCCACAAGGTATGTGAAACCAGTCTTGACCTAGAGTCATGAAATTGCTACCTAGTGAAAAATGGTATTTGGGGTCATCTGTTCTCCCAAGCTAATGGCCCATAGTTGGCTTTGGGATAAATGCTGAAGTGTGAGTGTTACTTTTTTGCAAGGACACAAATGATCACCCGTGTTTTCCTTCTAATACACACGTGCTGAACAAGTTCTTCTGTATTAAATCTATCAAGCAGTCTGCCCTTCATCTTTTTGTGGGTTAGCACGTCTTGAAGGTGTTCTCAAGAGGTAATGAGATCATGTTTTAGGGAAATATGTGAAGAATGTAACAATGCATCAGTGTACCTAGGAGATGCAATTCTCCTAAAATCCAATGGTTAATGAATTGGGAGAGAGTGTGCGAGCAAAAGCTATTGAGATACCATGGAAAGTGTAGGCCATCCAAGTGATCTTGTGTGACAAATTTTTCATTTGTCACATGCTTTATTAGTATTTATACAATCACAGAGCTACTTTAAGAAGTAAGGGGGTCCATGGCTTCTCCTGGGACTCTGTGACAACCAACATCTTTGGCCTTGTAGGTCCTAGAGGTCATCAGGGCTTGATACTGGGTGACTCCTGATTCCTCCTGCCAGGTATCTTTTCGTTCATGCACCTCTAAGAAACAGTACATGCAAACCTGACAGAGTATCAGAGCACTCCTTTTTGGCCTCAGATATTCTCTCACCTAAAGGAAGAATCTGATGAAAGTATACCTTCTAAACAGTTCAAATGAGACTATAAAGCCAGTCCACAGATACTGAGTACGAAAATATAGGCATTTTCCTTGAAATACTGACATTCTGCCTACAGTGCCTCTGTTATGTTCATTCAAATCGTTCTTCTACTCTGAAACAATGAAGCTTCTCAACTGGTGGAATGCTGCCAGGGAGTTTGAAGAGCACATAACCAAAGGCAGCCTTTAAATTGGCAGGGGAATGAATGGCCGCCTTATCAGCACAGCTGAGGCTGTAGACAATCAACAGCCACGGTCAGCTCACAGGGCCTCACATACAAGCTGGCCCCCCAGCCCCACAGGACAGCAACTTCCAGCTTCTGGCACCTTCAGACCACATGATCTGACAACAAAGACAGCCTCCTGGCGTCGTGGGTGGACACTGAAGACCTCCAATGGTGCTGGCAGGCCCATAAGACAGCTGCCAGTTAATATGAATTACCGAGAATTCTGCCAGTTTTCAAGTTGACCAGCTATCATTAAGATAAAGAAAATACTCAGAATGTATTTATGCTGATTCCAAACCTTCTTGTGTCATTTTAAAGGCCATGAAAACGATCAATCAGTCTTCCTTCTTATGGAATGAACCCTTGATTAGTTTGGTTCAAAGGGTTCTGGATGAAGAGTATTTGGTCTTGCTTTGTGGCAGTGTTCTGCTTTTGTATATAACAAATACATCTCCCAAGTGGAAGCAACCAACAAGCCAGAGTTTCATTAAATAAATTTATTTGTTAAAATAATTTAACTCCAAATACAACTGTTGAATTTGCATTGAGTTATAACTACAATTCATGTTTCAATTGAAATGTCGGGGCTTACTCGACATTGTTACAAAACAATAAACTGTTGTTCAATTTTAAATGGTCAGTTGTATTAGAGTTCAACAATTAACTGTGAACTGTATCTCTGGGAACCCCCAAATCAATAATGGTAAGTCTGTTTTCAAAATCTCCTGCAGCCATTCTAGAACCCCTGATGGAGGATTAACGGATGCACAAGGACAAGTTAAACAGAAGGACCCCACAGTCTAACATCTGATTGGCTGAGGAGACAATTAAAGCTTAACCAGTGCTAACAGGGGGCTACTGATGAAGGACTGGGAAACCAAACAAACCCACGAGCAGCAGACAAAGCAGCTTCACATTCACCAGCAACACTCACACTGGAAAGCACAGAGCAGACGCCCTTGGGCAACGCGGGGACGCAAGCATCAGTAGTTTCAGCACAGAGAGTGACGGCAGCTGCAGTGGCCGGGTCAGACCCCAACTCTACAAAGCAGAGGGTGGGAGCATCAGAGCACCTTTCAGTGGTGGAGGAAGACCCCGAAGGCTCCTCAGCACATGCTGGCTTGTCTCACGGAAGCTCACGGTGGAAAGGCATCAGTTACCATCACTACCACAGCGTAAAAGAACCCACAAGTTACACTTTAAAAGAAATAAATCTAAAAAAAACCCTGCCTTTTGATAAATGTTTAAAAAAAAAAAAGCAAAGCAAACTTGGTAATAGCTAAAGAAAAGTGGGTCTTTGGGTCAAACCATAATGTTCTTAAGGCATGTTAGAACCAACTTTCATTTCTCTAGTTTCTAGTTGGATGGGGCTTTGAAGAAACGGCAGGCGGAGCCACTGGCTCTCCTGTGCGGCCTGCCGTCCCATGTGCCAAGTGTCGTGTTCCTGTCCCTGGGCTGTGATTCCCATCCTGGCAAACATCATGCACAGCAGTCAGGTTCACACCAGAGGAGCAGAGGAGGGCATGGCAGAGTCTGTGGTGGGGAAGTGACGCCTGGGCACTATGAAGGACCGGCGCAAACACCAGGCCTTAGGAACCGTAGCCTCCCAGGAAAGCCGCCTGAAGGTATGGCAGACACTTCCACCTCACCCCCTGCCAGGCTTCTCACACGTGACCCTTTTCCTGTCTCCATGGCCATCCATGGTGTGAAACCGTGAACCGGGACAGCTGCTTCGAATGTGCAATATCACAACCTGCTATTCCTTATGGGAGTTTAACAATCAGAATTAGTCTCACAAGTTAGAGGCCTCAGGCCAATGCACTACCATTTCTATTTCAGTAGATAAAACACACTCCTTGAATCTGATTTCTCGATATGTCTGAGTCAAATTAGCTTTCATATAATGAACTTTGTTCCAAGAAAACTGGTTAGAACTTTTTGCCCTATGAATGCAGTGCCTCCTAACTGGAGAAAATGACAGTGAAGATAAAAACATTCAGACTCCCTAACACCACGACCTGGTTTCACCCACATAACTTGTTTATTTATTTGTTTTTCTCACATATGACTCCCTAACACCACAACCTGGTTTCACCCACATTATTTGTTTATTTATTTGTTTTTCTCACATATGACAAACACCATTGACCTTTTTTTCCCTCTATCTTCTAAGCTTAAAGCCAGTTACTAAAACACTTGCGGGGGGTGGGGGGGGGAGTTAATGGCTTATAAGAGACTAATAATTTAAAAACGTTTCCTTATACATTATGTTCTGTAGTATAGATTCTCAGTAGAGGCAATGATCTCTGAATTGTGCCAAATTCTTAGGAATAAACACACATGCACACACAAACACACACTCTTCTCTCAGTTACACACATAAGACTAAGCGGTTACTTGCACAAGACTGTGGAGCCAGGAAGGTGTGGGTGCCAAGTGTGTCCGGGCTCAGCGGCACTGATCCGGAAGGCCTAACTGGTCTCAGGCGGGCTCAGGCGTTCCCCAGCACTTACCTCTTCCACACCGACCATGAAACTCCTGGATAGGGTTCTCCTGTGCCATTACTCATGCAAATGATAAACGCTCCACGGCTATGGAAACCAAACATGCTGAGCTTCAGCACCCTTTTAGAACAAAAGCTTCAGTCTAGACGTATGTGCCACTTCAGTAATCAGGGCAGAACAGCTACAAGAAGCCCTTCCATGGTCCTCCAGGGAAGGGAGATGAAAAGGTTCCGTCCCCTTCCATTGCACTCTATAGTAATTTATATTCTACTTTTAAGCCCAAATTACTTCACAGATTACTCAATCTGTTTTTGTTTTGTTTTATGCCTACAATAAAGCTCTGTTACAGCAAATTGGATTTCCAAAGCAGGTGAGCCAAGGGTCACATTGCAACCACAGCCCTTAAAGGCTGCTTTCATGAACACACACACACACAATGTCAAATATCTGTCCTGTCCTGTGAGGGTCTGCAAACGGGAACGTGTGGATGTAACATGGCTTCATTTTCCTTCCACGATGGTACTGGTTAATCGACTCGTTAGTAAGGCTAGGCAACCTCTCCATCTCAGTTGCTTCCTTTTTGCTCAGTAAATAGACCATCCCTGCTCCGTTAAGAGAGGGTGGGTGTGCACTTTCAACTCTCATGAGCCCTCATGAGAGGCTATTTCCTGTGGCAAAGCAGGTGATTCAACAAATTCTAAAGCCAGATTGGATTTCATACAACCTTGTTCTGACTTTTACTCTACTGAGGATTGATAGGTGAGTGGATTTCATGTCACAAATTAGGAAAACACCTACAATTAAGCATCATTTTGAACAACAGAAGTGTGTCGGCTGAGCAGACTCTCCCTGCAGGGCTGCTGGCAGGCCAGCTGTTCACCTGGTGGGATACACCGGCTGGAAGGTCCATCAACTCATGACTTCAGCACTCTTGTAGGAAAATATTTCTCCTTTACTTTTTTTTTTTAAAGACAACAAAATATTTTAATTGTTAGTGGTTATAGGAATTCATCTGGTTTTTCTCTCCTGATTATTTTTAATTAACACAACAGCGGCCTCTGCTAACTCAGTGGCAATACCATCATCACTTCAAGTGAGATCACCCTGTAGCTCAATGGTGTGCCTTCAGGTTGCAGATGCACAGAAGACTGAGGACAGTGGTGGAGACTGCAGTCACTGGACCCACAGGGACTCAGAGGCGTCACCTGACCATCAGCCCGAGGGCTGCGGTGCACTGTGGACTCACACCACCCATCCTACAATCTGCGACGGAGTAGACAGGTTACTGGGGCCTACGAGTCTAGACGCGTCCTGTCCGGGACAGCCATGTCGGTGCTATTGTATGTTACAGGCAGAACAGCATGGGTCGTCCTTGTCAGGCTGAGCGGCATAGTTCATCTGCCTCACAATTTCTGCAAAGAGTTCGTCCACCATGGTTTTACTCTTAGCAGAAGTCTCCATAAAGGGGCAGCCCCACTCTTCGGCCAAGGCGCGGCCTTCATTGGAGGACACTTCTCTCTCACTCTCCAGGTCCACCTTGTTCCCCACCAGGATGACTGGCACCTTCTCATACCTGAAAGAACACACATAGTGCAGCAGTTAGCAGGCGGGGGAAAGACTTTCTTTCTGTTTTCCTAGTGCAGTATAAACGGTCTCTTCAGCCCATGAAAAATGACCTGCACCAGTTGGCCTGGCGTCCGCCTAGGGCCTTCTGTTCTCAGAGGGGATCAGAAACGGGCTTTTCAAACGATGTTTTCAATTAATCAATTATGTATCCTTTCCAGATACACTTGGGGAATCATTCTCAGCATCCTGGATGGACCTCTCTTAATTTAAATGCTATCTGTTCCATGAGATACTTGCTCAGAACTTCAGCCAGTCATGCAATCATGGCTTTACTGCTAACATAATTGTTAGTATTTTACTCTATTCTATAAGAACACAAAACAAATCATGTTCTAAACAGCTCCTGAACACAGCAAAGAAAATGAAAACCAAGACTGTAATAGAGTTCATCAAGATGGGAAGCATCAAATAGAAGCACACCCTACTTCCTCAGCCAGCAGGAAGAAAAAGTGAAATTTTTTTACAGTTAAGGATTAAAAATTTTAGTCATCAGCCTTATGAGATATTGCCTCTCTTTCTTCTGACCTAGAACTTTGAAACCAACAAATGATTAAAAAAAAAAAAAAAAAAAAAAGAATAGAGAAACAGAGGTCCCAAGTCACACTGGCACCCAATAATACTTCTTTCAGTGGGTGCTACATGAAGAGCAGGACTCGAAAGCTGTCAGAAGACAGAAACACCCAGCGCTGCTCAGTGTTTATGTACCAGGCTAGTTCCGAGTTCTCGTGCTGTTTTTTGAGATAGGCCCTCACTGTGTAGCCCTGGCTGGCCTGGAACTCTATATAGACCAGGCTGGCTTTGAACTCATAAGCAATCTGTCTGCCACTGCCTCCCAAGTATTGAGATTAAAGGCATATACTGTGGTGGTATTGTGTTCCCCCAAAATATTGTGTATCCTAATAAAATTATCTGGGGTCAGAGAACAGAAAAGCCACTAGATACTTAGGATAGGCAGTGGTAGCACACACCTTTAATCCTAGCATTCCAGAGGCAGAAATCCATCTGTTCAAGGATACAACCAAGCATGGTGACTCACACCTTTAATCCCAGGGAGTGGTGGTAGAAAGCAGAAAGATATATAAGGTGTGAGGACCAGAAACTAGAAGCTTTTAGCTGGTTAAGCTTCAGGCTTTTGAGCAGCACAGTTCAGCTGAGAGCCATTGGGATGAGGACACAGAAGCTTCCAGTCTGAGAAAACAGGACCAGCTGAGAAGTTGGCCAGGTGAGGTTAGCTGTGGCTTGTTCTGTCTCTCTGATCTACCAGCATGGACCCCAATAACTGGCCTCAGGTTTGATTTTATTAATAAGAACTTTTAGAGATTCCTGCTACAATATACCACCACTCCCAGCCTTTCATCTTAAAAGTTACTTCAAAGCTTTTTTGTTGTTCTATTTCTGTGATTTTAGTATAAATTAGTGCATGTACATGTTTGGCAAGACTGTATGGAGGTCTTACACAATCTGACTAAAGATAGCTAACCTTCCAAAGAGAGAAGCAGGCAAGACCCCGCTGAGGCACAACTCCCATAGCATATTTGGAAATGGAATTATGGGTAGGTTCCCCCACATAATATCTATACAATTTTACTGTTCTGTCAAGTATCTCCTAAAGCCAAGTATCTCCCCAAAGGACACCTATGTTTCCTTTGGCAAGAGAGCAAGTCAACGGCCTAAGTGAGGGTCTATTCCAGGCAGCAACACACAAGAGCAACGGGAAAGTAAGTGGGAGCACCCGGTGTGGTGCTCACACCAGCAGCCCCGGCACTAAGGAGACAGGCTGCTGGACTATTTGGTCTGAGGCTAGCACAGGCTACACAGCTAGACCCTGTCTCATAAAATAAGAGGGCTGGGGAGACCGTGCAGTCAGTAAGGTGCTTGCTTGCAAGCAGTAAGAACCCAAATTGAATCCCTAGAACCCACGTAAAGAGCCAGGCACAGCTGCACATGCTTCTAATCTCAGCTCTGGGGGGCCAGTGAAGGGAGCATTCCTGGGGCTCAATGGCCAGCCGGTCTAGCTTAACTACAGGACAATGAGAGACAGTTTTAAAGATGGATGATGTGCGAGGTTGTCCTCTGGTCTCCATACATACAAGAACATGCAAAAACACACATGTATAAAAAAAGTAAGGCTAAAAGAGTGGGACGACATCAAGGTGTTTCTTCCGGGAACAGAAGGGCAGCTCGGATCTGCATCCAAGTGGCCTGGATGAACTCTGGCACACTGTCCCCGGGGCCTCTGCACATGACACAGGGACTAACACCTTCTAGTTCAGGACTCTTGCACACATACTGGCCTCTGGTGGCACAGATGACAAGAAAGCCACAGAACAAAGACCCATTTACCAATTTACCAGCCACGGTCCACGTCAGCTTTACCTGGGGACTGAGCAGCCTGACTGTGAGCTGATAGTGCTGACTGTATCAGATGTCAGTCCCTAATCTGTTCTATCCATGAGGACGCCTCTGCACTCTCCTCTCCTGGCTTGTTAATGGAGCAACTTAGGAAAGGTACCAAGGAAAGCTTACTGAGCTGGAGTTAACACCTAACCAGCCCGTAAGAACGCAAGCGCTGAAGCAGTTCTTCCTGACGCTGAGCTGGGGAAAGCACACACAGTGGGAAGGTCAGGACTCCAAGGTCACCCTCAGTCACACAGTGAAGCGGCGGCCAGCCTGAGGTAGACTGCAAACAGTTTCTGTTTTATTAGAGAAAACATCTTAAGGAAGATTTTAAAGCTTAAATACAATGCTATATCCTATTTTATACTGAAGAGAGACATACTTTTAGTTGAAAAGATCTAATAGAATATGTGGATTTTTCAAAACTTGCAAACATATCAAGATATCAGCAGCAGGCTGACACATGTGCCTTTCAGTCTGGAGGTTCAAAGTTACAACAGACAGGGAGGGCCAGCCTACAAACGCTGCCTCGCCTCTCCTTGACCAGGCTGACAGCCAAGGGCCTGGCACTGTTCTACAGCTGATTCTCAAACGGGCAGGCGGACACAGGGCCTCATGTAGTGGGACCCAATGGCTACTAGTTCATGTAGTAATGAGGGTGAAAATCCAGGCAGTGTCAGAGAACCTTGTACCTCTGCTAACTGAACTGCCAATAGTTTTTCCAGCCACCAGGGTGTTAAAGATGCTAGAGAAATGCAGATAATAACCTGAACAAGAAACTTGACACACAAAACCAAACCAAAAAATGTGTATTTCCAAATACCAGATGGTAATGGATTTTATCTCTCTGTTAACACTAACATTTGGGACAGTGGAGAAAACTATAAACTACGGTTTGGATGGAGCTTTCACTCCTGTCCATGAAAGGCTGCAGAGCCGAGCACAGCATTTCCTGATATCTGAGTCTCATCTCTTTGTTGGTAAAATGGAGTTCAAGTGTCTGCTCCCCCTTAGTGCAACAGAGCTGCCGAACAGGCCAGATGAGCCAGTTCAGGGATCCAGATGAGACAGGAAGTGCCCACCCCTCCATCCTGCAGTGTCCACCCCCTCCATCCTGCAGTGCC